TTTCATTTATTTTAGTTTCATTTTTTTATTTTAGTTTCATTTTTCTTTTAGAAGAATTTGACTACATAAACTCACAATTGCTAAAGAACATGTATGTATATGCGCGTACTATGTATATTTGATTATCATTTGTGCTTCTCTTTTGAATAGAGTCTATACATATTAGACTTAAGGCCATAAATTATGTTAAGGCACTATTTAAAGTTAGAATTTAATCAGATTTTTAATAAACACTTCTGTTACATAAACAATAAAATCGAATAATAAATATTCCAAAATGTTTGAAAGGATATTTTAGATTGTAAATTTAGCTTTGTATGCATATGTGTATGGTGTGTGTGTGTGTGTGTGTGTGTAATTAGTGCCATTCATTTGATGGAATTATTGGTTAATTTATTTTGTATTGAGTTATAAATTTATATCAAGAATTAAATTAAATATCATGCCATTATCTTGTAAAGTTTATGGAAGAGATTGGTAACAATTATTTTTATTTTATTTTTTCCCTAACTGGTAATAATTTAACTTCAGTTTGGTTAATGTAACATTTACTGAGTAACATATACACGATTAAAGCGAAGTTTGTAATCACTTCAGAAATTAATTACAATAATAGCTAACAATAATCTAACATCTAACAAAACAAAAGATATACTTTGTGTAAATATTAAAAAATTATATATAAAGATAAGCTACTAACAAGTCATGTAAAGATTCTAGATTATTACATATATATCACTGTACACCTTGTAATGCCATTCCACTATTACTGAAATAAAGAAAGATATCATCTGTCTATTTCGTAAGTGTTTCAACGTTGCATCACTATTTTATTGATAGTAATACTATTTCAACTAATAATACTGAGTCTCAGTATTACTTAAGTAGTAATACTAAGTCTTAAATAATGTAAGAATTGAGAAAAATCACTTCTTTAGAAGATACGTTTTATTTTTCTTAAATGAAAATGAAATGATATGCCATTTCAGTCTTAAATAGATTTTAACATATAATAGGAAACATCATTATAAATTAGAGGCATTTTATTAAATAGAATCAAATAGACAACCCGATAACATATTGATAAATTTTCGCAAACCATATATAGATAAAATAGCGCATCACAAATTCTACTTAAAAATGATAAGATGAGGAAATCTTGAAAATCGTACGAAAATATATATCTTTTTTAAATTCGACCGTTTTCAAGTAGTAACAAGTAAACATTATTAATAATATACAATTGCATATGGATGTACTGATGCTGAAATACAGTGTTATTAAAGAACATTAATTCTTCAATAGATACGAATATATTAATAAAAGTGATGTATTTTGAGTTTTTATGCGATTATTATCAATATAGAAAAAAGAAAAGTTTCTTATATATTTATAAAAATATATGTATAAAAAACAAAAAAAAAAGAAATTAATTAGTAATTAACTTAAACCTAACAAATTTTTTAAAACATTTTTCAAAAATTTTTCAGAACTTTAGAATATATCCACACATTATTTATGTATATATATCCTTGTAGATATATTTTAGAAATAGCTTATAAAGAAAAAAAGAAAAAGAAAGAAATAAGATCAATAAGCAATAATAAATCGTTCAAAAATAATTCACATCTCTATTTTCAGACTTTTCAAATGTATTGTAACTTGATATGTGAAATCATTTATATTATTATTTCAATAATATCACGTGTGATCTACAACCCATTGTTCGCTTCCACTATCACTATTAGAAGCATTTTCATTGTCGTTTTCGACGTTATTCATTAGCGCATTTTCATTAGCGTCATTTACGTTATCTCTCATTTCATTATTTTCTAAATCACTATTCTCTTCAGAACTACTATCAAAACCTTCGTCATGTTCCATATTTACGTATCTTGCATTGTTACCTGCTTATAGAAAAATCATTATTTTTATTCAAAATTTGAATGCATAGATAGAATTACCTGCTACTCTGTTTGGAAATGCAAGTTCCCTGTGATCCTGTATATCAACTTCAACTGGATTGGCCATATTAAGTATTCTGAGTAACCATATAGGAAAGTCATTCTCTACTGCGTAAATGTCATTTTCATTTTCAATATCATTTTCGAGTACTTCAATTAAAGGTTGTAAATCTTCCAAATTGTTCAATTCTACAGCCATCATATTATTACCTTCACCATCTCTGTTATTATTTGCAAGATCACCATTTTCAACTTCGATCACGTCAGCAATTTCAAGTCTTGGTGCTTCTGCTATACTTGGAGATTCAGAATCCGATATATGATCTTGAGCTATACTTGACAGATCGTATTCCGGTGTCATATCCTGAGCGGAAGCGGAATTTGGATATCCAGAATCCATTACTTCTGGAGACCAACTGTTTGGAGGTGATTCCACAGTTTCTGGAGAAGGTTTTAATTCGAATTCCCCAATATTTGGGTTTGTATTTTTACATTTTGATTCATGATTTTTTACATTAAATTCAATTAATTTTTTACTTTTCAACACTGATGTAGATTCAATATCTCTTGTATTCTTGGCATGGTCAGATACTAAAGTGATATTTTCTAAATTACTAATATCTTTGGCATGATTACAAGACATTTTGGTACTATTTACATTTTTAACGCACAAATCACAATCATCATGTAATTCAGATTTTAATTCAGTCTTTCCATCACTATCATTAATAAATTCTGTAGAATCTGATTTAATCATTAACTGAATTTTTGTATCAATTACTGATTGTACATTATTTGTGTTTGCAAGAAACTCTTTTTGTTCTTCTGCTAATATTTCTTTAGTTTCTGTTTGTAATGTTTCATCATTTTTCATACTACGTAAGGAATTTGCATCAAGCAAATTCTTATTTAATGTACAAGATATTGTCGCTATATTATTACTAATAAGCGTATCTTGATTAGCATTATTTATTAACTCGTTTCCACTTTTCTTTTTTATGTCATTCTGATATGTAGAAATATCAGAATTAACAGCTGTACAAATATCTCTTGAATTAACAGTTGATATAATTGTTATATTTATATCATTGTTATTATGCAAAAGCACTTCGTTTCTATTTTTTAATAAATTATCGCTGCTAGGATTTGTTAATTCATATTTCTGCGTTATGTTTAACGAATTGGTACTATTTTTCTCTTCCTTATAATCAAGAGATCTTCGCTTTTTATTTATGCTATTTACTTTAATTTCTGTCTTTGGTGAACTTGTAAACTGTGGTTGATTGTCTAATGGAATACTATTAGCAAAAATTACACTACTGTTTGATTGCAATTCATCTTCTAAGTAAGAACTGGTTTTTGAGGTATTAATATCTTCTTGGACGCTTTGATTAAAGCAGTTTGTATTTGCTTCGGCATTAGCATCAATATCGGAATTTCCATCTTCTTTGTATGTATTTAAATAATTGTTGTGTAAGTGAATACAATCGTTAAAATTATGTTTCAATGATGATTTCTTGTTTTTTTCGTCATTTACATCTACACTGCTGTTAACTGATATATTTTCTTGATCGAGTGAATTATTTAACAACCAGTAATTACTTTGATTAGACATACTATTATTTTCTAAATCGCGGTCCATTTTAACAGCATCTAAAAGATATGGCTCAGGTGAAGTAGAGGCCCGTGAAACGGACATGTAAATTGGAAGATCTAATGTACGATTAAGTTTAACTGTAGTAGCACTTGATGTAGCACTATTTTGCGTATCTGATGTATAAAAATCTTCAAATCTTTTTGTTAAGGATGAGTCAGATAGTTCTGTTGATTCATTTACATATGACGCATCATTATTGTCAAACGAGTTATTGAAATTATCTGTACCAAGTATTGGATCTAAATTTTCTTCATTGTTAATTTCATTGTTAATTTCACTGTATCTATCAGAAATTTCAGTATTTCTTGTCGTTTCAGATTCATTATTTAACAAAACATTTTCTTCATCATAGAGATATATATTGTCTTCAATAATAGAATTATTTTGTGGTATAACAATACTTGGTTCTTCATCCCAAATTTCATTATCCAGTACATTATCCGGTACATTTGAAGAGCGTTGTTGAAAAAATTTGGAATCTGGTGGGATAGGTGGTCCATGTTCTGAATTCCAAACATCATCATCAGCAGAAATTTCATTATTCCACTCAATAGCAGCTTCTACTGAACTGTCAGAATCAGAATGTAAAGAAACTGGCGGTACTAATATAACTGGTCCAAATTCACGATTTTCAATCGACCAACCAGCCTCTTCTAAAATTACTTGCAATGCATCCGCAGAGATGCGAAATTTATATAACATACGTAATAATGTATGTAACGGAATTTCTTCTTCCAGGTCAGGGTCGGATGATAAATATCTAATGTAATATGTAGCATCATCAAGGATCTTCTCTTCATCTGATCGATTGTCTATTTGAAATGGGTAATCATATCTAGTTACTAATTTAAATAAATTTTCAATACCAGGGTTACAAAATTCAAATTCATAAACACGATGAAATACAGCCATTTGAGTACAACATCCTAAATGTTCTGAACCTTCTGGGCCTTTACAAATTCCTTCAAATGTTACTGTATAATAAGGATATCTTAAAGTAATATTTTCAGCCCTGTTGACAGAGATACATACATATATAACATAAATAATTATTTGTCACATATAGCGAAATTAAATTTAGATTTTCAAATTAAAAGGAAAGTCAAATATCATTACCAATCTTGAAATTGTTGTCTGGTCCATTCAAATTTGTGATCATGATGTCTAAATCTAAAAAAGTTTGGAAACAATACATTGAAATCTGCATTTGGGGTTGTTATCACTGCCACTTTTGGTTTGATATATCCAAAGATATTGTAAGGAACCTTTGCCAATGTACGTGGATGCAAATGTTCAATCCTGAAGTATCAAAATATGATTATCATATAATATTAACTATTCTACTTTAGTTTTCCATGATTTAAAAAAAGTTACAAATAATTGACTATGATAAACAGCAACCCACAATTCTATGCATATTACAGCATCTGTGTTCTCTAGCTTCTTGTCACTTTGAATAACACTACCCTCATATACCTCAACCACAAGAGGTTTAGGTCTTCTATTTAAGTATTCTGATACTAAAGGAGCAACCTTTTCGTGGAAAGCTTCTAAAACTACTCTATTAACATCCACGCATAATATTTCTTCTATGCCCTCTGTACGTTTCATGTAATTAAAAAAGCCAAAATCTCCGCATCCAAAATCAACGATCTAAATGAAAAAATCATCAGTTTTTCAGTAGCAATTAGAAATGTAGTGAAAAATTCATTGGATTATATCGCATGTAAAATTATATATTTCATGAATTATTAGCGTTAGAATATTCGCAAAAAAAGATCATTTACTGAACAAAGTTTACAAATGTTTATACTCCATTTCCATATGACAAACACGTTAGGATACTAAAAAGTACGTAAGATACCTTGCGTATTTTTCCTTGATATTTTGCACTTTGAAGTACATCTTTCACAGCAATGTATCTCTGCATGTATGCCGGTGGGGAGAATCTAATAGGCTTTTCTTCGAAATCTCGCGGTGCTTCAGGATCTCTCATTTTATAATCTTGTTCAGAAATATTTAACTGCACCTCCTTGCTCATCGCGTCATCAATAGCTTTTTGCTTATTCATTCGATAATTTTGGTATACAAATTTGCCGAAAAGATAAAGCACGTGGAACAGTACAATAATCATGTCAATAACGAAAAATTAATCGCAATTTTGATCGCTATTAAACTTTACCAGTACATCCCAACTCCATTTACTTGCTGTTGTGCGTAATATCGGCCATATTGTTTTGTTTAGTAGGCGAGTTGAACTGGATTGGTTAGAATTTTAGATTAGTTAAGACCACCACCAACATTAAAATAACGTAAAAGCCACTGCTATAGATATAGAAATAGCTGATATGCAATGTATTTTTTTGTCTCACGTTTTTAGGATCCTAGGACTTCATTACCATTTTTGTGTTATGTCTTGTTGTACCGATTTAGGCAGGTTTTGCATTGCAGCACAGACGAAGTACATATATAAATATACCTGATGGCAATGAGAATTAAAATAAAAAAATATAGATATTATAGTGCTTCGAGAATTATTTATTCCATTGAACGTGATAGTACTTTTTTAATAAAAAAATATAACGATTTGAAACAACAATTGATGACAATTGGGACGAAAAATTTATTATATATTTGATTATTCACATCTATTTCATTCATATTAAAGTATTGAAAAAAATTGATTGATATGATATTTTTATAATATAATTAATAATATAATTAGATATTAGTTAGATATGACGTTTTTTACTTATTTTAGTGTGCAGATTCACAGCCTGAATGAATCATCTTTATTACACAAACTCGATTTTATAAAAGAGTGAAACGTATCAAAAGAATGTTTTTACGAATACTGTTTAGTATAAAGAAATACATTATGCGATGTAAGTTATTTTTTACAAACGGTCCATTTCCAAATTTCGAAATCAAATTCATCTCCTTAAATGAGATATTTTCTTTTTCATAGTTATTTATTGATAAATATTGATAAATAACTTTTTCATAGTTATTTATTGATAAAACCAATTCAGTAACTTGCAGCAAATTATTTTCTTGTTATAAGTTGTTAAAAATTATATCATGTATTAATGAATTATTAACGGAGTTAGATATCAGCAATTGTAATTTCATCTTATGTTTTTTATGAAAACATAATTGGGGACACAACAATTGGGTCAAAATAATTTGGCATTCGTTGTATGAGAGTTAATATAAAAATGATTAATAAAAATGGTACACAGTATGAATGATTTAATGATATATTTTGATGATATATTTTAGCATTAAGATTTTATACGAGTTCAAAATATTGCTCCAATATTACTCCACTTGCCTCTTTCCGATTATCAGTTCGACTGTGGTATCAACAACGAATACAGTATATATATATATCGTCTGTCTGTGCCTCGTTCGTAAAACGGTAACATGTAATTATTGATCTGGAAAAAATTAAAATATTTCTTATGTTTTTCATAAACGAGATTTGGAGTGAACATAAAAATTACATTCAATTTATTGTTAGTTGTAAAAAACGACAAAGAGGAAGAACATTTTTCTTGCAATGAAATAGTTAACTGAGACAATAGTTTCAAACAGTGTTTATAACGAAACAATTTTGTTAAAGATATGGGGAAATTAGTTTGAGTAGTAAAAAGTACTACTACTATTGCGTTACATACATAAGTTATTTCATAATTTATATTATTATTTATATTTCATTAAATTAATAAGACTCATGTGCGTTTGATTTAGATAAGATTTTTTAATTTTCTATTCCGAATTATCGTTTCATACGAAATATACGCGTAATTGGTTTAAGTTAGTTAAAGATAATAGCGATGAAATGCGCAAATACGTAAAGATGCTATGAGTCTTGAACATCGATATTTTTCATAATCGATCTTTAGGCGCGAAGCATGTTGGAAAGAAGCACACTTCATCTGTGAAAGAAGTATCTTCCAGAAGTTCTCAGGTAAAAATTTAAACGAATAACTGTTAGATTTTGTGTTTATATTGTGAATTTTTAAATTAAAACTTACATTTTTAGCTTCAGTTCATGGAAATCTGCCAGATTAACAAAGAAACGTGCACAACTTCCACGTCGTAAGATGAAAAGTTCGAATCGACACGGATGACTGGTATACGTAGAATTTTTGATGAGCATAGTGACCGCAAGTATTTTTAAATCTGTGAGTAATAACATTTTTTCAAATTTTTTAGGATAGGGCTTCTTCATATCACGATCTTAATAATTTCGAGTTAAAGTTCGAATATATACATTTATATTAATTATTCATAAAATTAAAATACAATGTTTCCAAAAATAAAATATTCACATTAATATCTGTATGAATAGATAAATTCTAAACATTTATAAATAATTATTAACGAAATGATTTCGTAGTAGATAAATCGGATATTCTTCGACTTCGTTGCTATGAAAGATGCAGTTACATATTGGTAATATATTTTGTTATAATAATTAATAGTTAATAATTGTTATAATAATAATTTCCAATTTCATCTTCCTTTTTATAACAATATGATTGAATTCATTGAGTTTTGTATAATTATGAACTATAATTTTTTTCCTTAAAATATGTATGAAATTTGATCTGCAAGAAGATACTTCGTAACAGGCAGATTTTTGAATCAAAGCAACTGTTTTCGCATTTTCAAAAATACGCTTTGATAAAGAAGTCGCCTGAGATTATTTCTATTAATATTTAATTGTTTGAGTCAATTGTTAAATTTCAATTCTTATGCTTAATGCTGTGATTATATTGTTTTCATTCTACTGCAATTTCAATAATTTCTGAAAGAGTAGAGTCATTAGAGGTCGAAATAAAATAATACATTAGTCCGTTAGATACAAATTACATAAACTAATCTTTTTTTCGTTCAGGATTTTTAGGTTTAACCTCTTCCGTGTTTATTTTCAAAATCTCAGCCAAGTGCTACTTGGTCATTGGGCACGTCCATAGCTTGTTAATTTTACAAAAAATTTCTTAACTGACAATGTGTTAGCCTATCGTGCACGACATATTTTCCGCATATGTGTGCGTGTGATTAGGCTGTGGAACTGAGTTGAAATAATTTCGCGCCTGTTTATTAGTGTTATGGAAGACTGATTTAAATTGGTTTAAATTAGAGTTGTGAAAAAATGATAATTGTGTTTGCTTTGGAGTTGCGAATTATGATATCGTCTTTTTATCGGCTAATCATGATATTGTCTTTTGCAATTTTGATTATGAATTTTTATAGTTGTTTTAATCTTATACATAGTAAAATTTACCTTGCTTCCTACTTTTTAAAATTTGATTCATTGCTCTTAATTAATTTTAGAGCACTGAAATAAGCTTTTTGTTCTTTGGTATTTTTGATAATAATATTCATTGAATTCAGTTTTTAGAATTAGTATTATTTTATCGCCATTTCCAATTACTTTTGCCCTTTGTTGTGATATTGTTCCATCGCGATTTCCGATTGCTTTTCCTCTTATTGTTAGTGTTGCGATAATGAATGATCGTGTTCCTTGAAGTAGCGTTGCGTTTACAAAATACCCAAATTTTTCTACTGAATTCGTGGAAAGTTGTTCCTGTTT